GTTCAGGAGGCAGTAGGACGCCACGCATTCTATCTGACCCAAAACACTGCTGTCACAACTTGTAAAGGCATAATGAAAGAGTGGAAGACATGGAAGAAGTGTGGTTGTACAGGAGCCTCTCCTTTCGTGAGTGGGAAATTATCTACTTTGAAAAGGAGGTACGTCATAACAACACACTTTGTTGATGACACTTTTGAACAGTTCCAATCAACATTAGTGGAAAGGCAGATTCCAGGAAGAGGGGGGCAGCTCCTTCATGAGCACTGTCAACGGTGTGCCAACATGTCTGTAAGGGCACGTCATAGGTTCGGCGTTTATCTCCTCGTCCTTGGACTTTCCTTTCTTTGGATGGAGTAGAGAGAGAGAAGGTATGGGCATTCAACATTGATTTGCTATGCGATGTGGAGTGATGAGAGTTACATTAATTTAGAGAGCCCACTTTTCCCTCAAAGTTAAATGCTTCCTGTCTAACTAAGAAAATCATTCAAAGAAGCACATATATGTATTTCGTGTGTGCCGACGTACCGAAGCGTCTAGGGATCTGACAAATCAGTGGATTACGCGGTATTCAATCTGGTCCAGCCAGCCTGCAGTACTGTGGGTGTCTCTACTTCTGCGCCTTCTCGCTTTCTGCAACTCCTGTTAGAGTGACAGGAGAAATGTCCTGTCGTAGATACCTCCTCGTATAATATATGCGAATAGCCAAAACGCTTCAAAGACGTGCCTGACCCTGCCAGTGACCATTCCAAGCGTTTTGCATACTTCTCTGTCGACGACAATTCACCTGAAGCAATTCCCACGTGATCGTGCGACCCCTCTCCCGTCTGCTATGACGAGGAGACTGGTGGCATGGGTAGTGACAAAAGCACAATTCCATCATCATCAAAGCCAAACTCTGTTGACAAACAAAAGTAAGTAATGGAACAGGAAGTAGAGGAGGGGGAGGAGGCAAGGATGGAGGGTCAAGGGCTTCTTAAGAAGAAAAGGATTGGTCCAGACCATTTGCAGCGAGTTCACCAGCCCAGCACTGCGAAGGGTCAGCCTTTGGCAGCTTCAGGATGACCTTGCCCTTGAGCACCTAATGACGATGAAAGCAAACAATGAGGGTACAAAGTACAGCAAATTTCACAGGAAAGGTTGCTTCCTACTGCACTATTAAGTGTTTGGTGCCTCTAACAGAAGAATACATTCTTGCCCTTCAATCAATATGCAGTAGTCCTTTGATTATTGGCGACTACTTCAACATTCTTGAAATCATATCCTGTCATTACACTCGCTTTCACCTCATCACTCCTTCTCACCTTAGTCTCAGTTCAAATCTGTCTCACATGGGAGCATCTACAATCTCACCGAATATTCGCATTTTAGTGTTTAAGAAGCCTCTCTTGTGGGATTTGATTTCCCAGCATTCTACAGCATCCATCAATCCACATCCTCATTTATTAATAATGACGTGGACATCAACTCTGCGTGTGCTTGCGTACACACTAATGTCAAGGTCACCCAACTTGGTACAAATGCGTGAGAACAAAGACCATCCTGATAAGCCTTACGACCACGTTAATAAAATTAAATGCTCATTTTGTAAAGCTTTGTCCCTCATTTTTCCTACAAAGGTCTCTATGGTGTCTGTCCTCAAAAGCATAAATACCAGCTACAGTGCATTCACAACTGTTAGCAGCCCCTAGAAATCTAACCGTTGCCCAGCGAACGTACTATGCTCCACAGTTGATTCCATTACAGTATTCGACGAAAGCATATACTGCATACGTGCACTAAGTTGTTAACTCTACATTTCTCAATATGTTGCAAAGTATCAAACAGCGAAGAGGGAAAAGTACCCAATTAAGGCAGCAATCAAAAAAGATTTTCAAATTTCATTTGTGTTGATCCACAAAAAGCCCATGCTAGGCACTTTAACTAGAAAAAATGACATGAGACTGGGCATTATTAACTGTGTCCACTTCGTCGACTACATGAGCAAGCTGTACATGAACGCAATGAAGTAAATCAAGCACGCGAATGTACTTAACAAAGTCTATCTTCCTATTGGAGAGCTACATAAATGATAGGAAAGAAACGAGGAAATGATGATAGAAATAGGCAGTTATCTTCCAATTAAGATGGCTGACTTTTTATATATAAGAGTGGAGGAAAATCAGACTCTATGCTTAAGAATTGAGGACTATTGCGCTGTTTAGTGTTGCTTCGATCGCAAAACGGCAAAAACCTTAAAAACCGACCACCAAACTGGAAGAGAAGCTCATCCTATGCTATATCTTCATTAAGGCGAGAAGAAATTGTATCACAACATCCAACTTCACGTAATCACCTGACAGCGATTGGAGGATTCGATAACGCGACACACCTTAAGTCAGTGAAGTTCTATGATCCTATTTAAGCCTGTTTGCATCACCTTGGTGAAGGTTATGATGTGATGTACCTCAGTGAAGACGCACATCCAACTCCCTTATCTGTCACGACGACGACTTCCATTTGTGCCGATTCGCAATAAGCCTTGGGGCTCCACCAGCATTCACTATGGTGATCATCATAGATGAGGCCTACCACTAGGGTTCCAGTGGTGACGTTGAGGTGACCTCACAATATAGTCACCGTCCAGGTGTATAGACCAATGTATTCTAACCTCTACCCCTATCCTACCCCACTATAAAAAAATAGATTACTGTTGGCTTCGTCTGTTACCAACCCCTCCAACGCCAGCACTCGGCGATTAAGAGAGCACAGATCAGGTTTTAAAGGGAAGTGGATAGAATTGTCATTAGCACAATCAGTGTCATTTTAGTTGCCAACATAATATGACGTATGGCATAGGATTGCCCACTATGATTACGGTACCATAATCCATTCCAACATTCGAATGGGCATTGATTATGTGAATCCCATAAAGTATGTTCAAGAATCCGATTCAAGTCCCCAATGACTACACTAGTTCGCCATTAATTTACCTAAGATTAATACAGAGAAAATGGTTGGAAAATCAAGTACCAGGAAACGTAAATATATATCAGTTTGGATGTGCAGTCAGTCAGGCGATTCCCGCACACGCGCGCACACCTTCCTCTGATATGCATTGTAACTAGTACTGACTGCTTTATTTCTTGCCGTGAGCAGTTCTTGTAATAGTGATTTGTCGCATGAGAGACATTCAAGGGACAACAATGAGCATTTCCTTAGTTGCTTTTGGGCAATTAAGCATCCAGTTGCTTTTAAAAAAGAAACTGAACATAGGTACACAGCTGCTTCTGTGAATATTCAGTTATATTCAGAGGGAAATTAATGGTGACTCTGAATCAACAGCTGACTAGTAGTTGCATGATGAAGGAAAGTGGCAAACAACGGTGGAATGTCCCACTTAAACGAATATCATGGTGACCAAAAGCCATATGCAGGAAACACTCGCAAAAGTGAGGAGCAATTTCTGCACTCCACCTGATGAGAAAAGTTCCAAATAATATTACGTAGCCTCCTCAATTATCACAACTATTTAGTACACAGATCTGCACAATACATAAAACGCAAACCATTTGAAGGAATAAACGCAAACAAAAGCTGCCACCATTTGGCAATCTCGTAGCACTAGCACCACATCAAGACTAAATTTTGCGCTAGTGCAAGAATTAGGCTGTCAGCTTTATTTTTCATATTAAAATGGAAGGGTGTTAAAATGCATGACGCAAATGACGCTCATGTGAGTGCTTAGAAGTAGCAATTGCCTTAGAGCTATAAAATATTAAAGAGTCTGCATATAAACAATAGCACATAGAAAATATTGTAAGGACGTGAGGTAGTCGTGTTACCTGACGACTAGTACGTGAGGTAGGATGTATTTATTTTAGAAGTAAGGTTATTTGGTGTTTGAAGGTAGGTGGCATCAGTGGAGTTAGGTGCTTACACTTTTGAACGGGCTCATATAATGGTAGAACTTGTGGGCCACAACGATTAGGTCAACAAGTTTTGGGAGGATCATGGCTTCGTAGTAGCGTTTTAGAGGCTGTAGCAATGGTGGTTGGCAGAAGAAATAGTGGGCTTTAGATTGTCACCACATCAAACGCTACTGATGTCGACTCACTGGTGTATTTCTAGGTCATCGGTATTATGTCCCATGGGTTTAAATTTTGGCCTTTACGGGAACAGTGCTAACGTCTCGTAGTGGGGCTAGTAGAAGTAACCGTTGGAGGGTTGGACGCTCCGCGGTTTCGGGTTGGGATAAGAGATCAGTCGTGGTAACACCGGTTGGTGTGTCTGTCTATTTCAGGAGCGAAATGGACCATTATCGCTACCACAGCCCAAGTGCATGTGGGTGAAGCTGTTGTATTTGAAAGACTTAAAAGGGGGGTGTGGTGTGGGTGGCGTCATGCCCTTGTACAATTGCTCGGGCGGGAGGCGGTCAGTGCTTCTTCATCGTCTGCGAGCCGATGGCGGGTGGTGTACTTTTGCTCTGTGGTGAGTATGGGCTTGTTGTGCTCATGGGATGCGGATGGTGGGTGCATGCACTAATACACCTAATAGGTAGTCACTTCAGGATTGACTGTCTAGTCATGGGCCTGGCAGTGGGACTCTCTCTTGGCAGAAGTTTGTTTTGCAGGCTGGAGGTGGCGTAGTGGCAGCTACAACAGTTCCGTGTTTGTGGGTGCTGCCATTGCTCATTGTGCTGACGCACTCGAGTGCGGATTTTTAAGCGCTTCTACTGCGTGTTTCCTGTAAAAAAGGCACACGATATTTCCATCGTCCTATTTTTGTGGTATTGGCCTAATAAAGTATTGTTTTACCTTGCATGAGTAGTAATAACTTCCTTTTAGTGCACTGCTGTTGGTTCCTATGGTGGGATCATTGTTTGGAGAGACTGTGGAGTGTCAGAGTCAAGTAAATAGCATGGGCTGGTAGAGGCAGAGGTGATCGTGTTAATCATTCTAGAGTCATTCGGGTTGATGCGGGAGGAGGTGTTGTTGCGCCTCTGCATGACAGCCGCCCTCTGTTTAGTATGAGAGATTTGTGAATGCAGTAGTGATGGTAGTGAGTAAAGTAATGGGTAATTTGTGTAGCTGATATTGGTTTTGACATCACATGTAGCTTGGGCTCGGATGCGCACGTGTTGCATTACATCTGTTTGGCACGGCTATGGTTAGGGTGGGATCAAATGGTGCAGCAACCGGAGTACGAGGTGTGAAGTATACCTCTATCAAACATTTGCTTTAATTTTTAAAGGCCTCCGATTCTTAGGCTAAATGTCCTAGTACACTTGATATCGCACTGTCGCTCACCCTTTTCTGGCTGAATCTTTAGCCTTTGCAAGTCTGTGCAATGGACTCAATTTCCGGTAATTTTTAAGGCCCAAACTACGTAGTGGCTACTATTACGGAGGCGAGAATACGAAGAATGCTCGGGAAGAGGAGCTGTGAAACAAAACAGGTGTTATGATCATTCGTTGTTCTTCTAGCAGTTCTTTAACCCTTCTTTGAACCCATACTGAGGCCTTCTCCATATCTATCCTACCTTATGAAGAAATCGAGTGCTAAATTCCTATTTTCTTCATTTAAACCAATTGGGATAGAAGTAATTCCCTTCTGCGAACTCAAATATGATCTCCTGCAAAAAACGGAAAGACTTGCTAGGATACATCTGGTATTGATATCAGGATGGAGCAGGAAAGCCTTGAGGTACACATAAGTCAGTCATTGTCAAGCATTTCAAAATATAACAATATCCACACCAATGGTGGATGAATAGGTCGTCGACCTCAGAGGCAGTAGAGGACGTACATACTGGCAAATATTAGTAGCGGGGCTTTAGTAGGAAGGACGTCAATGTCACCAGCGCTGCCGGCGATGTCGAGATGGGTATAGGGCAGATGCTTCTTCTCAGAATCTAGACCGTGCTACACAACCGAAAGACAGTTTAATTAATGAGGAAATATAAGTGAATAACTAAGTATCAAAGTCAGTGTATATAGTGAGTGCCCGCTTACACGAACTACACCTGTTTGTGTGAACGCAATCGGATGGAGCATATAGTTTGACTGTAAAAGTAGAAGAGGACTTGACATCATCCAAACCGCTAGCAGTAATCATATAGGAGGCGGAAAACTGGTGCTCAAGAGTGTTTGCGTTACTAGGGGGATTGTTGCATTGAAGGGGATCTTCGTATTCGCTATAACCCTCGACTACTTCATAGTCCTCTCTCCGAATCGTTGACATCTTCATTTATAAAACATCCACACGTAGCCCTTTCAGAGTTCTCTAAACCGTCAATATAAGCAGAATATTATGCCAGTAGCACCTCAACCATGTCAGGTACTTGATCACCTGCTCCCTGTAGGTCGCTTGTGACGCCTAGCTTGCGTGCGGGACCGTCGTCCATGATGGCCTAATGAAGAAATACAATTTATACTGCTTATGTTTACATAAGTCGCAATGTAATGGATTGTGCATCTTGCGGTGTAGCGATTGTATGCGCAACCAAGTAGGCGGTTAGTGTAGCGAATGTAAATTGAAATGGATTAACGGCATTCACCACCTACAATTGCAAAGGCTGGGAGAATAAATGAATGGCGGCAAGATGGTCATGTAAAATCCCACAACTACACGCAGACGGTCTGCTATAGCCTCCGAATCGTGAATATGATAAAGGAAAGAATGAAAATCTTAGCATTAAGGCTTTAAAGTATATTAAATTACTCAGGACAACTAGTGGTAGATTAAAAACCCATAAAAACAGATGATAACTTGCTGGTGGTTAATAGGGATAGGCATTTGAATAACCTGTTCTTTCTCCTCACAGAGCAGGTCGTCGGTTTTGCCCATACAGACGCTCCAACCGGCACGTGAAGTGATGATCTCGTCAGTTGTGTAACCGTTGGAACTGATGCTTCTGCGCACAAGGTCCGTTGCACCACGTATATACTACTGCTGTGGCCACACTCTTGTCATGGCGAATACCCGGCATCATGCCGCCCACTTTCACATCCATGCCAATTGTGTTGTAGGTGATGCCCTTGCCGATTAGAAAAAAAGTGTTGTGTCCACCGGTGAACCACCCTCGTATGTCGAGTGCACCACCTTTCCATTGTGCCGCTTAACTCCTAAGGTCATTAGTATTTCTCGGGTTACCCCAAAAATTAGAAGTCTAAGTGCGGATGGTAGCTGCCTCACCCATAGAGGCTCCATTAACAACCGCCATGAGCAAGTATGCACAAGGGTCGATCTACTTGGGTATGGAGGTGGACAGTCGCTCTGGATCCGATCCGGCGATGTCGCAGGCCACACATCATCCCTCCTCCGTTGAGTAGTTCACCCTCAAGATACTCTTTGAAGCACCAAACACTAACAGATAATCAAACTTCCTCGCTTTTTCGGATAAATGCCTCTCGCAGTTCTAGTGGCTAAAGAGGACAAAAATAGGCGTGCATTGCGTCATAGAGGGCATGCAGGGCACCAAGAATGGCATTGAGCAAGGATTACTCTTTCTCCGTCCAGACGGCGTCTCTTGGTCCCTACTCAATGTCTCCGAGTACAAGGAATGATCTCCGACAGCCAATGCGATGTGCCCTAAAAATGAAAAGTCCAGCTAGTACACTACTTCCTTATACCGACAGAATTATCTGTCAACTCGAAAATCCATACTTCTCTTAAGAAGTATTGATAGGATTTTTGAAATATTTAAGAAAATCAGCTCTTTTACTTTGCATTAATCAAAGATGTCATATATTTTGATGACGTTGAAAGCTGCATCCGAATTGTTACGACTGTCTGCAGTATCTCCGTTGCAAATACAGTGCATTTGCGCCTTTCCCAACTCATCAAGCCAGCATTGTTGCAGGACAATATCGC